TTGTAACATCTTAAGTCTTGCTGAACAAAAATAATTCATCACTAGTTTGGTTTTGATTGCCTTTTTTCCTGTGGTACACTGCAAAAACACAAAACGTAACTAAATATTTTTGGTATAGTTTATAGTAGACTTGAAATAAGACAAAACTAACTTTCAAGTAACTTTTCAGCCAGATGTAGGAACATTGATGTAACACAAAGTGCAAGTTTAACAGGAAAGAGATAAACGTTTTCGTTTGAACCTGCAATGTTTCCTGCCTGGTGTATCTATCAGCTCATCTCATATTAACCGTTGAGTTATCCTCCCCCATGTGTGTGTATTTCCTTACTGTGGACACTGAAGAGCTAAACACACCACCCTGCTTGTCATAACAATCAGGAAGAGAGACCCTCCAATGCATTCCCTGCCTCTGCCTCGGGGTGTGGCCTCGCTGTGGCCCCACACGGCCCCCAGGGTTTTTTTCCTGCAATTCTAATCAAAGCTAAAAAGGCTGCAGCCTTGGCGTCAGCAAGGAAGATATCAATCACGCTGCTAAAAACAAGCATGAAGGAAAGCGGGGTGGGAGAGAGTCTGGGAAAAGTTGCTGCTTCGACTCGATTTTCCGAGCGTCGCGCGTTCTCTGTTCTCGGAAACCACGAGGTAATTCGAAGTTGCATTAACACATAATGGCTGTGTGGATGGATAAATCATTAAGTTGCCTGTGATGCTGCGCGGCCCGTCACCACCAACAGCCATCAGCGGCGGCTCCTGACTCATTCTCCGCCTGTTTTTTTACCAGGTGGGAATGAATGAAGCCACTCTGGAATAGTGAGAAGCAGATCTGCAAACGCTGCCCAGTTCTGCAGCTGTCTAATCCTCCTGCAGACGCTGCTTGTATAGGGACTCAGACAGATAGAGACATATGCCCATGCATGCATGAGAACACAACAACACTCATATCTGGCCAAGCAGAAGGGCGGCTGGGCGAGCGGACTGGGTTTGTGTCTGAATATTCGCTTCTCCACAGCTGGAGGCTGCTGGACCTGCTCCACGCATCAGACATCCATCAAAGCGTCGGTTTGATCCCAGGGTGATCGCACCGCGAGCCTCCCCTTCCTGCCAGCAGGTCTGCCTGACGGCCGTCTGTCGCAGCCGGGGGAACCGAACACAAACACGTCACCAAGAAGTCCAGCCAAGAATACAAACCCAACCGAGCGCAAACCCTGAATGCTTTCAAGCTTGTCATGAAAGTAATGCTGATCTGATGTTAGCGTTGCAAATGTTTTCACTCCCCTTGATGCATCATTCAGCGGATAAAATGGTATGGCACAACCAAAACTGACAGGCTTCAGTTATACAGAAATCTGATGTAGTGACGGACTCGGACCTGAGCCTTCAGAGACACAAAAAGTCAGTTACAAAGTCAGTCTTCTATCACATGAACAACATTTTCAGGTTTAAAGTACTAATGTCTCACCGAGATCTAGAGAAACTCAAACATGCATTCGTGACTGGTTTCATAACTGGCAACAGTATAATGTTTTCATGATGTAAAGTAGTATGAATTGTCTTGTCCAAGCTAACTTTTGAAGAGCTGCAGAGATCAACAGCTCAGGTGGGATGGTCCATTACCATGACAACAACTAGTTGTGCATTTCACCAATCTAGTTTACGGAAGAACGACAAGAAAGCCATTGCTGAGAGAATACTCTGAAAATAGATAGATTGGCAGCATTGAGGAATAGGGATGCTTCTATGTATTTTAATAAAAATGATCATTTTTCTTCCACTTTTTCAAATTTCAATTTTCAAACCATTGCACAGAACATCGACATCATCGTTCACAACTTCTCCTGCTGTTCTCTGATTGGCTCTGTTGAAATTCTTCCGAAGAAATGGAGCTCAATGGATTCTGGATTCTCTCCCAGATGAGAATCCAGTAGGAAGGCAATAGCCACGCTAACAGTATGAATATTTTTGCTTCTCAGCCATTTTTAAACAATCAAAGGAAGCAGTTAATCATATAGATTTGAGTTATTAGTTACCCTGTAACCCAGGGTGAGTAATTGCTATAATAGTTGGTCCCATTCTATGTGAACCCCCCTACCCCATCCTCAAACCTATTTTCCACTGGAGACTTTGGTCATTTCCATGGCTGCTCTCCATAACAGCCCTCTCTAATGCAGAGGAGGACAGGCAGGGTAATTAATTCCCCCTGCTGCCTCTTTCTCTTCCCGTCTCCTCCTCTCCGTGGTGAAGGGAGAAATCGGGGAATGTAATTTACACTAATTACCTTTTTGCATAGGAGTCTCATTTCAACTTTCCTTTTCATGTCGAAGCACCAGTCGAGGTTTGCCTCGGAGCTTCGACACCCCTAATGAAAAATCACTACAAAATTACTGCGGGGACATAACACCACTAAAGAAAGAGTCCCAACCTGTTTCATATAGCTCCATTTCATATACCATAAATATACCTGCAAGGATTCACTTTCAGTCGTGAATCTTCATTCTGTTGGGACGATTTAATATGTATTAAGAACTGCTGCTGAGTTCCTCTCTTCCCTAATGGTATTCATGAATAGGGAAGGTCGGGCTTCCCTTTAACACCAGCAGAGGGACTATAGAGTAAACACAAATTAAACATGAGGCTGCTCCAAAATAAATATGGGAAGCATCAAGCCTCATTATTTGCATGTACTACTCTTCAGTTTGCATCAGCACGTATAACTCAGTTTCCTTATACAATCAATATTTTCTGCAAAGAGACCATCAGTAAAGACTTCTTAACAGAAAGCTTAAACTAAATGAAGCACTGTACAGACTTCAGAATGTGCACATTATATCCTGTTTGGTCATGCAGTTTCATGTCTTGCAGCTGGACTCATTCATGCACGAAACAATCTGCACTGCATTGCTTTAATTATCACCCACTTTTTAAAAATTACATCATTCATATCGAAACAGATGCGGAGTAAATGTGTGATTTTGCCCAAACGCATAAAAAAAATCTTCCCCATGACAGCCTTAATTCAGCGACTCAAACGCAGCTAGTTAGTTACAGCCACAATGCTGCAGCCATATCGACACCTTCCGTTTAAGATTCACTTTAAACAACAGATACATGCATCCATGAAACATTGCATCCTAAAAACCCGAGAAAAGTCGTGCAGATTTTGTGCATTCGTTGCGATATAATTTGATGCAGGAGTAACGCTGGGACTGAAAAGAGACGCGACCGGGACCGATCGGTCTCCGACCCGCTCTCCTTCCCTTAAAGCTGGGATACAATTTCCACCAGGAAGCAACATGAGGACCGAACATCGTTTTTCACGAGTCGGATTAGACAGTTTGTTGTATTTTTTGCTTGTTCTGGGCGATTTGGTGCCTCATCAGCGCGATTTGACCACAATCTGACTGAGCAGCCAGTCTCCTGTTCAGCTCTAACGCACTAAACTGTTTGGTTTCATCAACCTATTTGGGTTAGGTTTGAAAAATGTGATAAATATGATGAATGATGAGATGTTTTAGTATAATTGTGTAATTTTTCCTCCATCTGTTTGAGCTGCAAATCAATTGTGTCACTACACCGACGGGCTCCAGCCGCACAGAATAAAAACAGCACATTTCCACAGGGGAAAAGCCCTTACCTTCGTATACAGGGGCCATCGGTGCAAGGATTCCTGTTATTCATGGCAAAGAATAAAGCGAGCTTTCTGATCAAAACTCAATAAAAATCTGCCATCTTGAAACACTGATGTGAGGGTCGCCGCGGTCTCCTGCATCACTGGCCCGGTTCATTAGTGGAGAAAATGCTCATAATTCATATCCAGGCCGGTTTAAAAAAAAAAAAAAGAAAAGAAAAAAAAAAGCCGGGGTCCGATGCGAGGAAGGCGGCCAAGGAGCGACGGGGCTGCGCGTCCGTAGATCCTCACCTGCGGCGTAATTTGGCCCGAATGGAGAGCCGCGATGACAGGTTTACTTCAGCTATTGTGCGACATGTCTGTGGAGTGAGGAGTCTCTGCAAAAGTTGCAGCAGTGATCGGAGCGCAGCGAGTTTGGTGGGCAGGGAGAGAGTCGAATGTCGAGCTAATCGATGCAGGCGGAGGGGAGGCATCACCATCCGAGCCTCAAATGGGACATTAGGTTAAAAAAAAACTAGTAATGAAAATCATCTGCTTTAAATTTAAAGATTAATGTTAGAATAAAAATGTAGTATTAATTGAAGCTCATGTATGGTTTAATTAATCTTACTCAGTTTAGTTAATTATAATTCACAATAACCTCAAGGCTTTCTACAAGAAAAATAACTTAAATTCTGAAGAAATGCACAATTAAATCAATACATATCGCAATATAACATAGACAGGTTCAAGTTCAATTACTCAAAAATTTAATTCAAATTCAAATTTAAAAATACTTTCTTGGTGAAAGCTGTTGGCAGAAAGGATCTCCTGTAGCGGCCTGTATTACAGCCAATTTGAAGAAGCCTCTGACTGAAGACATATGATAGATGTTCAGGGTTTTGCATATTATCTTATTATAAAATAATGTCAAATTCAGGTTTTAATTACATTTGTACTATATCAACATAGGAAAACATAGGGACAATGTTTTTAAAAAAAATAAATAATTAGTTAAACAAAAACAATAAAAAGAGGCAAAAGAAAAAAAAAGAAAAAAATCTGCTATTTTTAGCTATACCTTCAGTTACCTGTGGGGTTTTGTCACAAATGTGATAAATCTTTACATCACAACATGATTTAGGAAAGCCATGATTTACTTAAAATATTTAGGTGTCATAGATTATAAAAGGTTAACTTTTAGCGATAAGTAAATATCTTGGATGTAATAACGTCCCGGTGTTTTAAATTTTATTTGTCCATGGTGCAAAGTGGCCGTGTTCGATGACTCTGCGTGTGTTTGGTCGCGCCTGCGCAGAGGCTGGAGCGATCCTACTGTATGACGACACGAGATTTGCACAGAATGGACTGGAATCGGATTACATCGGCTCACACAAATGTGAGTAATCTGTCATTTAGCAGCCATCCTGCTCTCACAGCAATACGCGCACCGAGCTCTAAATGAAACATGTCAGCTCGGCTCGTTTGCAGCAGAGCGGCTTCACCTCTGCGGCCCTCATTACAAACCAGGCCACACATTTAAACATGCCAGGCTCTTCATGTCTGTGGAGTCACGAAGAGCCTGGCGAACGAAACAAAAAGTCATGAAATACTTTGTTGCATCCCAGAAAAAAAACAAAGCAAAAACGTTGCAGTTATTCTATTTTATTTTATGCAAATCATAGTTTTACTAAAACACAACAATATAATTAATGTCCAAGCTAAAATCTTTTTACTCTAGTTTTGTTTTTTAATTATCTTGTTCCAAACACATAAAAAAGCTTCAAAATGAACAGAAGGTAATAAAAACTAATGAAAACAAACTGTGACCAGCTTTTCTATTGAATTTATAGTCATAATCACAGACTTGAGTTTGTTTTCAGCACAAGATAATCATTTTACATTTAAAGTTTAAATCTTTTAGTTTTGTGTTGGGTTAATTTCTTAAATATTCAGCATTCCTATGACGCATTTTCAGCTAAAACTGGCTTCATATTGAAATATTTTCTGCACAAATAGTATCGTTTGTTAGCCTAGATGATTAATAAATCTTTCACGTTTTGATTTGATTGGAACCCACAGTGAGATTTTATGTATGTAACAACATATAAAGCAGATCACTCCACATTTACTCTATTTTTCTTTTTTTTTTTATTAAAAAACCTTTACTGTATTACAACCAGTGATGGTTGTAGTTGCCCAAGCAGAGCAGCGCCCCCTGTGCATGGAGTTAATATTTATTTATTATAAGGGGTTTGAAGCCTTTTGCATTAAATGATATGACAGGAGGAAATGGAAAATCACAAACAGTATATCGTGTCTTTTTAAAAACCGCCTGTTTGGAGATAATGAATGTGAGCATGCTGTACTACAGACAGCCACTGTATTGCGAAACTATGAAAGTGTGCATTATGTGTAAGCTGAAGCCGGATGTAACCCTGCACATTGCACTTCCCAACAGGCTAATAGTTCAATTTCATCTTTCAGTTCCTGTTATGTCCTTTATGTGACACTGGTAACTGGAATATCTCTGACTCTTGGTTTTTACATATTTAAACTGCCTAACTGGCGCCGTTTCTCCCAATATCTCTTATCAGGATATTTTCTGAGATCCTCTGAATGTCGGGAGGTTTCACACAAACCCAGTCCAGAGTGCTAAAGATGCACATCTCCCCTTAAGCCAGTTTGTGTTCAGAAATATCTATAATTTGATAATTATTGAGCCAATGCGGCGATATAATTGTGTTGGACAGAAGGCATTTTGGAGATAAAATTAATCTACCGAAAATAACAACATGCACAAGTTTTACTGTCCTGCTTGGATAGGAAACTGATGATACCAAAGTGTTTTACATATCCTGGATTTTCTTTGATGACACCGAAGGAAAATCTGACCCACTTACTGGAATTTTGGACACATTTACATAGTGACCATATTAGACTGTGATGAAGGGATACACAGAAAAATAGAGTCATCAGCTTTGGTTTTAGTATTTGATGACCTCATTTAGGGGGAGATCATGAAGCCTGAAGAGTCTTGAGATACCCCATGTGTGATCTTTGGATTTTAGATTTATAGCTACCAAGCGGTAAAACTTAGTCTCACTATAGCAAATAAGATCCAGCCTTAGCGACGTACCAGGAAATCTCAATCATATAGTAAAATCTGCCTGGACGAGAACAATTACACCAAAACCCAGGGCTCACGTTCACTGAATATTTTCCGTCTTTGACAATTCACACACCTGATCATTGATCCAGGCATGCAGACATTTCAGCTGCATGTATAAAGTTCATCATGGAGACAGGAAAGCCCTTTGGTCCGCTTGCTTGGCCCGGACCAAAAGCAGACTCACATTTGGTGCGGTTTGATTTTACATTGTGCTTTTTTTGTAAACGGATTATAATTTGTAAACGAAGCTACACGGGTGACCATCATTGCTCCCATTGGACAGAAATGATGAGAGGCGGGACAGGAAACAAACTTTCAATCTGCAGATCGCAGATTCATAAAATTAATTTGTAAAGTAATCCAAAACCTCATGACAGCAACCTGCAGCAATTCCCCTGGAGAGATAGATTGAGTGAACAATGCAGGTCCATGCAGTCCAGGAAGAAGTGAATTCATGCCACAGCAGGTGAAACTTTCAAAGTTTAGGTGAAATCCTTTAATTTCATTGTTTATATGTAGTTACTGGGGCAGCAGTCAGTGGTTTTTGTCACTTTGTATTCATCTGCTTGATGTGTGATGGCACAATGTGGATTCCATGTTCAGCTTGTTGAATGAAAATTAAATTAAAATTGAATATGTGATTATCATCATTTTAAAAATGACCAGGTAGAAATTTATTATGATGAGAGTTTTTGGACCTTGTCACTCAAAACAAAACAAAAAAAAGTTTAGCACAAGTTTTGGGGAAACTAATAAAAACGAATTTTATTGGATTTGTCTTCAAATTTTGATCGCTGTGTTTTACACTCAGGTTTCCACAGAACTAGGTGTGTGAGCAGTATTTATAGTAACCAGTGCTGAGGCAGAACCTGTTCTGTTACATGCTTTTAATTCATGTCTAATAACCACTGAGGTGTGAGAATGCTTCCTGTACGTCATGACGATCTGGAAAAGGAAACTTAAACTTCTTATCCTTCACAGTTTTGGATCCATTTGATTTTCTTGCTTTCATTTGCATCATCATCTGTCACAGCAGCCCTCTGTATTCCCTCCTTCACAATCTTTTTCATAAATCTCTGAGCATATTGCAGTTTTTTAGACTTAATTGGTGCCTGTATTCCAACTGTCATCTGTTCCTGATTTAATAGACGCTGAGTGTCCAGCTCAGGTTTAACTGGTGAGTTTGGATGCAGAAAGAATAGTCAATGAACGGCCTGTCGCTTTGAGACCTCAGTTACACATTAAAATTAACTTTCATGCCTCCTATGATCTGAATAAATCAGTAATGTCAGAAATATCTCAGTAAATGAAATAACAGCAGGTCCCAGTTCAGCTACATATAATCTGATAAATCTGGTTTGAGATCTTTTTGTAAGAAATGCATGTTGACATTTCTTATTTTGCTCATTTGTGCTCACTGCTCTCTAAACTAATTTCACGTCAGGAGGCCGAATCATTCCTCTGCTCCTATTTCAATGGAAAATCCACTCAGAGCTCCTGACCTCTCACTTTCTGTTTAACAGTAAAATAGCAGAGCTTTTCCTGATTCAAACCGCCGCTCGCCTCAGTCCCACAGGTCCAATTACCTCACACACCATCGACCGGCGCTTGTGCTCACTTGTAAATGGAAATTTGTCTTTAAAAAAAGAGCAGAAACACTTTTTGGTCCTTGTTTTGAAAGAACTTGGTTTCCAAAGTCGTATTTTTCCACATGTCTCGCATAAAATCTGGCCTATTTGTAAATGATTTGCAGCAGGGAGAGTTGATTTGTCAGAAGCAGGAAAAATCAGAAAGCATAAGAATTTGATTAACATCAGGGCTGAAACAATTAATCAGATTAATCATGATTAATCATCAACTAATTTAGTAATCAATTAATCATTAACTGGAGCACACAACCAAAAAAAGGCCATATACTGAAAGAACAACACACTCAGCAGTAATTCAGCCAAATCTGTACAAAAAAACATAAATACACTTTGCACTTAAGATAGAAAAATAAAAAAAATAAAAAAAACTCAACAGATGTAATTTTAGCTTCACCTGTTCAAATTCAGTTAGAAAAAATCTCTGGATAGCAAAATGTTTTTTGCTATCCAGTTATTAATTGTTAAATCCATAGATTGATCAACAAATCACCCTATGCTGCACAGATTTAACTGAAAAACTGTTTACTAGTTGATGCCGCCCTTTAGGAGGAGCCACCCTGGGCACCTGCCCACTTCGCCCACATGAGAAACCACTTCTGTCTGAATGAGTTAAAAAACAGAAAACCCTTAAAATCTGAATCCTTTACGGGTTTTCTGTGTTGTCACAACGTGACTTCACACTTTTGGCCACATGAGAAGAAACACTTTGTCACAGTTAAACTTCATAATTTAGCCTGGCTTTAATTCAAGCTTCTTAATGCGTTAGAATAAATCTTGAAAGAGCAGCAGAGCGGAAACACAAAACCAGTGAAAATGAAAGATGCCTATCTGAGCTGTTCTATGAATGACGGTTGTTCCAGTTATTGTACAGAAGCCTTGCTGTGGTTTTTTTGTTCATACGAGTGAGCGTGATGTTTTCCTGCCTGTGAGAACTGGTGGTTTACTCGGCCTTTCAGCAGAGTAAACACAATTCAGATCCGCCTGACGACTATTTTGGCACCGAGGACCTTTTTGATTGAGCTACAGAATTTCTTCAACAACAAACAAGGCAGCCTAAATTACAACCCAAAGCTGCAAATGATTATCCCGTATGCTTCACACGCACCAGTGAGCGCAGTTACGCGTTCTGCAACTGAGCAATTTGTCATGCCTTATAAAATAAACTGCTCCACATTCTCAGGTTTTAGGGTTTTTTTCCTCTCTGATTGTGAAGCAACGTATTTATCAGTGTGATCCTTCTGTGTTGCAACGTCCTGTTCTCGGCCTCTGTGTGCGTTTCAGGGCTGGAGCTCAGCCTGTCACGGTTTTGGATGTTCTCAGTGGGTTTATCATTGACACAGTGTCACTGCAGACTGGAGCGCCAGGGTCATGGTGGAAGGGTCAACGTTGTGTGAGCACACAGACAAAGTTGCATTTACTGCCATGATTTCAAGCCATGAAGGGGAAATATATTTGAAATGGGGCGTGCTGTGACTGAAACATTTGTCTTGCAGTAGCTGAGTCATTACTTGGTCTTTCAATATGTTGACACATCAAATATAAACAGCTCTTTCTGTTTTTTGTTCTGTCATATGATCT